CATGTGAAGGAAAGTGGGCATGTGAAGGAAAGTGGGCATGTGAAGGAAAGTGGGCATGTGAAGGAAAGTGGGCATGTGAAGGAAAGTGGGCATGTGAAGGAAAGTGGGCATGTGAAGGAAAGTGGGCATGTGAAGGAAAGTGGGCATGTGAAGGAAAGTGGGCATGTGAAGGAAAGTGGGCATGTGAAGGAAAGTGGGCATGTGAAGGAAAGTGGGCATGTGAAGGAAAGTGGGCATGTGAAGGAAAGTGGGCATGTGAAGGAAAGTGGGCATGTGAAGGAAAGTGGGCATGTGAAGGAAAGTGGGCATGTGAAGGAAAGTGGGCATGTGAAGGAAAGTGGGCATGTGAAGGAAAGTGGGCATGTGAAGGAAAGTGGGCATGTGAAGGAAAGTGGGCATGTGAAGGAAAGTGGGCATGTGAAGGAAAGTGGGCATGTGAAGGAAAGTGGGCATGTGAAGGAAAGTGGGCATGTGAAGGAAAGTGGGCATGTGAAGGAAAGTGGGCATGTGAAGGAAAGTGGGCATGTGAAGGAAAGTGGGCATGTGAAGGAAAGTGGGCATGTGAAGGAAAGTGGGCATGTGAAGGAAAGTGGGCATGTGAAGGAAAGTGGGCATGTGAAGGAAAGTGGGCATGTGAAGGAAAGTGGGCATGTGAAGGAAAGTGGGCATGTGAAGGAAAGTGGGCATGTGAAGGAAAGTGGGCATGTGAAGGAAAGTGGGCATGTGAAGGAAAGTGGGCATGTGAAGGAAAGTGGGCATGTGAAGGAAAGTGGGCATGTGAAGGAAAGTGGGCATGTGAAGGAAAGTGGGCATGTGAAGGAAAGTGGGCATGTGAAGGAAAGTGGGCATGTGAAGGAAAGTGGGCATGTGAAGGAAAGTGGGCATGTGAAGGAAAGTGGGCATGTGAAGGAAAGTGGGCATGTGAAGGAAAGTGGGCATGTGAAGGAAAGTGGGCATGTGAAGGAAAGTGGGCATGTGAAGGAAAGTGGGCATGTGAAGGAAAGTGGGCATGTGAAGGAAAGTGGGCATGTGAAGGAAAGTGGGCATGTGAAGGAAAGTGGGCATGTGAAGGAAAGTGGGCATGTGAAGGAAAGTGGGCATGTGAAGGAAAGTGGGCATGTGAAGGAAAGTGGGCATGTGAAGGAAAGTGGGCATGTGAAGGAAAGTGGGCATGTGAAGGAAAGTGGGCATGTGAAGGAAAGTGGGCATGTGAAGGAAAGTGGGCATGTGAAGGAAAGTGGGCATGTGAAGGAAAGTGGGCATGTGAAGGAAAGTGGGCATGTGAAGGAAAGTGGGCATGTGAAGGAAAGTGGGCATGTGAAGGAAAGTGGGCATGTGAAGGAAAGTGGGCATGTGAAGGAAAGTGGGCATGTGAAGGAAAGTGGGCATGTGAAGGAAAGTGGGCATGTGAAGGAAAGTGGGCATGTGAAGGAAAGTGGGCATGTGAAGGAAAGTGGGCATGTGAAGGAAAGTGGGCATGTGAAGGAAAGTGGGCATGTGAAGGAAAGTGGGCATGTGAAGGAAAGTGGGCATGTGAAGGAAAGTGGGCATGTGAAGGAAAGTGGGCATGTGAAGGAAAGTGGGCATGTGAAGGAAAGTGGGCATGTGAAGGAAAGTGGGCATGTGAAGGAAAGTGGGCATGTGAAGGAAAGTGGGCATGTGAAGGAAAGTGGGCATGTGAAGGAAAGTGGGCATGTGAAGGAAAGTGGGCATGTGAAGGAAAGTGGGCATGTGAAGGAAAGTGGGCATGTGAAGGAAAGTGGGCATGTGAAGGAAAGTGGGCATGTGAAGGAAAGTGGGCATGTGAAGGAAAGTGGGCATGTGAAGGAAAGTGGGCATGTGAAGGAAAGTGGGCATGTGAAGGAAAGTGGGCATGTGAAGGAAAGTGGGCATGTGAAGGAAAGTGGGCATGTGAAGGAAAGTGGGCATGTGAAGGAAAGTGGGCATGTGAAGGAAAGTGGGCATGTGAAGGAAAGTGGGCATGTGAAGGAAAGTGGGCATGTGAAGGAAAGTGGGCATGTGAAGGAAAGTGGGCATGTGAAGGAAAGTGGGCATGTGAAGGAAAGTGGGCATGTGAAGGAAAGTGGGCATGTGAAGGAAAGTGGGCATGTGAAGGAAAGTGGGCATGTGAAGGAAAGTGGGCATGTGAAGGAAAGTGGGCATGTGAAGGAAAGTGGGCATGTGAAGGAAAGTGGGCATGTGAAGGAAAGTGGGCATGTGAAGGAAAGTGGGCATGTGAAGGAAAGTGGGCATGTGAAGGAAAGTGGGCATGTGAAGGAAAGTGGGCATGTGAAGGAAAGTGGGCATGTGAAGGAAAGTGGGCATGTGAAGGAAAGTGGGCATGTGAAGGAAAGTGGGCATGTGAAGGAAAGTGGGCATGTGAAGGAAAGTGGGCATGTGAAGGAAAGTGGGCATGTGAAGGAAAGTGGGCATGTGAAGGAAAGTGGGCATGTGAAGGAAAGTGGGCATGTGAAGGAAAGTGGGCATGTGAAGGAAAGTGGGCATGTGAAGGAAAGTGGGCATGTGAAGGAAAGTGGGCATGTGAAGGAAAGTGGGCATGTGAAGGAAAGTGGGCATGTGAAGGAAAGTGGGCATGTGAAGGAAAGTGGGCATGTGAAGGAAAGTGGGCATGTGAAGGAAAGTGGGCATGTGAAGGAAAGTGGGCATGTGAAGGAAAGTGGGCATGTGAAGGAAAGTGGGCATGTGAAGGAAAGTGGGCATGTGAAGGAAAGTGGGCATGTGAAGGAAAGTGGGCATGTGAAGGAAAGTGGGCATGTGAAGGAAAGTGGGCATGTGAAGGAAAGTGGGCATGTGAAGGAAAGTGGGCATGTGAAGGAAAGTGGGCATGTGAAGGAAAGTGGGCATGTGAAGGAAAGTGGGCATGTGAAGGAAAGTGGGCATGTGAAGGAAAGTGGGCATGTGAAGGAAAGTGGGCATGTGAAGGAAAGTGGGCATGTGAAGGAAAGTGGGCATGTGAAGGAAAGTGGGCATGTGAAGGAAAGTGGGCATGTGAAGGAAAGTGGGCATGTGAAGGAAAGTGGGCATGTGAAGGAAAGTGGGCATGTGAAGGAAAGTGGGCATGTGAAGGAAAGTGGGCATGTGAAGGAAAGTGGGCATGTGAAGGAAAGTGGGCATGTGAAGGAAAGTGGGCATGTGAAGGAAAGTGGGCATGTGAAGGAAAGTGGGCATGTGAAGGAAAGTGGGCATGTGAAGGAAAGTGGGCATGTGAAGGAAAGTGGGCATGTGAAGGAAAGTGGGCATGTGAAGGAAAGTGGGCATGTGAAGGAAAGTGGGCATGTGAAGGAAAGTGGGCATGTGAAGGAAAGTGGGCATGTGAAGGAAAGTGGGCATGTGAAGGAAAGTGGGCATGTGAAGGAAAGTGGGCATGTGAAGGAAAGTGGGCATGTGAAGGAAAGTGGGCATGTGAAGGAAAGTGGGCATGTGAAGGAAAGTGGGCATGTGAAGGAAAGTGGGCATGTGAAGGAAAGTGGGCATGTGAAGGAAAGTGGGCATGTGAAGGAAAGTGGGCATGTGAAGGAAAGTGGGCATGTGAAGGAAAGTGGGCATGTGAAGGAAAGTGGGCATGTGAAGGAAAGTGGGCATGTGAAGGAAAGTGGGCATGTGAAGGAAAGTGGGCATGTGAAGGAAAGTGGGCATGTGAAGGAAAGTGGGCATGTGAAGGAAAGTGGGCATGTGAAGGAAAGTGGGCATGTGAAGGAAAGTGGGCATGTGAAGGAAAGTGGGCATGTGAAGGAAAGTGGGCATGTGAAGGAAAGTGGGCATGTGAAGGAAAGTGGGCATGTGAAGGAAAGTGGGCATGTGAAGGAAAGTGGGCATGTGAAGGAAAGTGGGCATGTGAAGGAAAGTGGGCATGTGAAGGAAAGTGGGCATGTGAAGGAAAGTGGGCATGTGAAGGAAAGTGGGCATGTGAAGGAAAGTGGGCATGTGAAGGAAAGTGGGCATGTGAAGGAAAGTGGGCATGTGAAGGAAAGTGGGCATGTGAAGGAAAGTGGGCATGTGAAGGAAAGTGGGCATGTGAAGGAAAGTGGGCATGTGAAGGAAAGTGGGCATGTGAAGGAAAGTGGGCATGTGAAGGAAAGTGGGCATGTGAAGGAAAGTGGGCATGTGAAGGAAAGTGGGCATGTGAAGGAAAGTGGGCATGTGAAGGAAAGTGGGCATGTGAAGGAAAGTGGGCATGTGAAGGAAAGTGGGCATGTGAAGGAAAGTGGGCATGTGAAGGAAAGTGGGCATGTGAAGGAAAGTGGGCATGTGAAGGAAAGTGGGCATGTGAAGGAAAGTGGGCATGTGAAGGAAAGTGGGCATGTGAAGGAAAGTGGGCATGTGAAGGAAAGTGGGCATGTGAAGGAAAGTGGGCATGTGAAGGAAAGTGGGCATGTGAAGGAAAGTGGGCATGTGAAGGAAAGTGGGCATGTGAAGGAAAGTGGGCATGTGAAGGAAAGTGGGCATGTGAAGGAAAGTGGGCATGTGAAGGAAAGTGGGCATGTGAAGGAAAGTGGGCATGTGAAGGAAAGTGGGCATGTGAAGGAAAGTGGGCATGTGAAGGAAAGTGGGCATGTGAAGGAAAGTGGGCATGTGAAGGAAAGTGGGCATGTGAAGGAAAGTGGGCATGTGAAGGAAAGTGGGCATGTGAAGGAAAGTGGGCATGTGAAGGAAAGTGGGCATGTGAAGGAAAGTGGGCATGTGAGCAGACAAACGACACCAGCTGGGCGACAAGGCGATGGAGCGATGCGATCGCAAGGCGGAGAGGCGGAGAGGCGGAGAGGCGGAGAGGCGGAGAGGGGGAGAGGCGGAGAGGGGGAGGCGGAGAGGGGGAGAGGCGGAGAGGGGGAGAGGCGGAGAGGCGGAGAGGCGGAGAGGCGGAGAAGGGAGAGACTGACTGGCGCGTGAGGAAAGCAGAGGCGAGCGCAAACTGCATGGGGCGGACGAGCGCGGGTGTTGAGCGGACTCAAAAGTGGAGACGGGAAGGGGCGGGGACTGACTGGCGCGTGAGGAAGGCGGAGGCGAGCGCGAACTGCATGGGGCGGACGAGCGCGCCGAACATGCTGTCGTCAAACTCCTCCTCCGTCACCTCCTCGTCCGACATCACGTACGTCCCCCACACGCTGGCGCGGACAGGGGGGAGGGGGGCAAACGCGGGGGGACAGGGACAGGGATAGGGGAAGGGGCAGGGCGGAGAGGATTGGGGGGGACGGGAAGAGGGGCGCGCCGAACATGCTGTCTTCGAACTCCTCCTCCGTCACCTCCTCGTCGCTCATCACGTACATCCCCCACACGCTGCCACGGACAGGCGCGGGCGCGGGCGCGGGCGCAGGCGCAGGCGCAGCCCGAGGCGCAGGGGCCGGGGGAGTGGATGGGGAGTGGGGGTGGAGGAGAGACGGGAGCAGGGGGGAGATAGAGAAAAGGAGAGAGATGGATTAAGTGAAAGAACAAGGAGGCTCGATGAAATGAAACATGGTGCTACACGGTACTGCGTGGTGCTGCACGGTGCGGGCGTGCACTGACTGCGGACACGCGTGTCGAATCCCCACGTGCACAAGTGCAGCCCACCAACACCATCATCGCCTCTCCTCGTCGCCTCGCGACTTACTGGTTGAGCGCGCGACTTACTGGTTGAGCGCGCGACTTACTGGTTGAGCGCGCGACTTACTGGTTGAGCGCGCGACTTACTGGTTGAGCGCGCGGCAGATCCTCGGCGCGCAGTAGATGACGACGAGCGTGGCCAGCCCAACGATGCTCTCGCGGAGGAAAAGGACAACCTGCGCCGCCCACACGCAGACACACAAGATAAGACACGCCGCCATGAGAAGGCCTCGCAACACGGACAGAACAAACGGCCGTGCATTGGGGGTACGGATCGGTGTCGAGCCGATGGTACACGTCAAAATGCAATGTACATTCGTTAGACACGCGTCATTGAGTGTGTACATTCAATGTTGTACGTACGCGCGGTGTATACACGTTGACCAACTGCGAGCCGTTTCATCGAAGCTGGTTACATTGCTCGCACCCACCGCTGCGCTCACGGTTCCATTCCCACCCCGAGCGCGTTCCCCGCGCAACTCACCGACACCTCCGTGAGCCCGAGGCCCGCCGCGAACCCCGCCGGCACGACGCGCGAGTAGACGGCTTGCGCGACGTCGGTCAGCGCGCCGGCCTTCACCGCCGCCGCGGTCGTCGGCGGCGCCGCTGCAGCGGCAGCGGCGAGCACAGATGTGGCGCGTCGCTTCACGGAGAGCGCGGGGAGGGGCGGAAGGCAAGTCCGTGCGCCGAGAGCTGCGGAGGCGGAGAGGCGAGAGGCGGGGAATGGCGCGTCGCATCGCGGCCTAACGGCAACCCGCTGCAGGAGAGCAGTCGACGCGAGCGATGCCATGTTTGTGCGAAACGTCGCCAGGCGATGGCGAACAATGTCGGCTCGAGATACAAGTTCGCAGGATCCAAGTTTGCAGGTGTTGATGGTTGGGTTGATAGCACGGCAGAGTTGTACGGAAATGCAAACCAAAAGAAAGTTTGCTCCAATATGAGGTGGAGCGAAGGAAGGCGGGAAAAGATCAACCAGCGGCCGAACAGTGCCAGAAGGGTGATCAAAGTAGGGCCGGTAAATCTCGACCGTAGGATTTTGACCCAGAGCTGCCTAAACGACTAGGCGATTTCGCCGAACCGTGAGTAAAAGAGATTTGCGACAAAAACCGAAAATTGTATTCAGTTTATTTTGTTTGGGTTTAGACCTCCGTCTACTACAACGCGCGCGTCGCCTTCTTCTGGTAGTATAATTCGGCGTGTCAGATCGTGAGTACGTATAATTTATTATATTCTGGAATATCTATTGCACTGCCTGCGTCAGCAGGCAGTGCAATGTGTCAGCGCGGGCAAGAAAAAAATAAACCCCAATCGGGGGCATGCCATCCGAGGGAGCCTCAACCCTAAAATTTTAGGGTTGAGGCTCCCGAATGGCATGCCGTAAGCCATGGGGTTTATTTTGTTTGCCAACGGGCAGCTTGCTGACTCAGTCGGTAGCGCAACCGGGCGCTACATATTATATTCTGGGGGATACATATCACCTAACCGATAGGAAACGCACAAGGAAAAAAAAATTACCCACTCGAAAACGGATGCGACTCGGGAGGCATCAACCCTAAATACCAGGAAGTTTTTCGTTTTTAGGGTTGATCCATCCCGAAAATGCATCCACGTTCTCTATGAGTTTTATTTATTCTGGCTGCCCTAATTATTCCCAGTGGAGTCGGCTCACTAAACGACACGCGAGCAAAAATGCGAGCCGGTACACGCCACTATTGACATAATTTTGCGCAATAAAAAAAGACTATCTGTTAAAAACTCCTCTAGCAGCGGTCTGGTAAGTTTCGGGCCTCTCGGCCCCTGGTTGATCACCCCCCTGCCACTGTTCGGCCCCTCGTTGATCTTCTCCCAAGGAAGGGGAAAAATCACGCGACTCGACGGTTTTCAGATTTGTGTCAAATCGGTCTACCACTCGTGCACCACGCCAGCTCAAATTAGTATTCCAAAACTCCGATCGACCGACTCTTTTTCTACTCTTGCAAGCACGAATTGGTCACCCTGTCGCAAGCGTTTCTACTACGTTAGGGTTTCTCGAAACTCGTGGGTTTGTGGGTGGTGGCGCTACCGAGTGAGTCAGCATGCTGACCGCGGGCAAAAAATATACCCCATGGCTTACGGCATGCCATTCGGGAGCCTCAACCCTAATTTTTCAGGGTTGAGGCTCCCTCGGATGACATGTCATCCGAGCGGGTTTTATTTTTTTTCTTGCCCGCGGTCAGCTTGCTGAATCGATGTAGTGCAATATATATTCCAACCTACACGACACCTCGGTATGTACTGTGCAGACCAACACCACGACAAAAACGATATCATGCGGGCCAGCACGTGAGCCTAAACCAAACCTACTTCAACAAAGTTACGTACCTTCTCAACACCAACCTAAAATCATTACGCTATACCGCGTAAGCTAATGTAGGGTCGATCGGAGTTTTGAAATTCGAAATAGTGCTGACGTGGAGCACGAGTGGTCGACCGATTTGACACAAATCCGAAAACCGTCGAGTTTAGAGATTTTTCCCAAGGAAGGCTGCTTGCTCCCCGATCCCGCGCGACTGGTGTCGTCGTGAGGGAGGGTGCGAGGCGAGGCGAGATACTGGTCGTCCTGGGATAGGTCAGGGCAGGGACTGAATGGAGGGAAGACGGCACTGACTGGTGGGGAAGAGTGTAGGTGTGACGCTTACCGTCCGATCTGCAGTCGCATTGTAAACTTGCGCTGATTGCCGTCGATTGCTCTGAAACCTGCAGTCGCCAACTTGACCGCCAAGCAGTCCGTTCGATTATGGATGATGTCGTCCTGAACCGTCGGATTTAGCTCGCTTGATTTCATGGGATCGTGTTTCGTTACGTGAAAGTGGGGGGGGGGGTGTCAGGAACCGCTAAGACAAACAGAGAGTGTAATATTCTTGCACACTATACTGCAAGATTAAAAAGCATAGCATTATATGGCGCGTTGTGCTTGATTCCATCACGAATACGGTACTATTAAGAATACCGAGATTGTGGGAACAAGAAAAGGTTTCATAAAACACAGTAATAAATATAATTTCTGAAACAAAATTGTATTTTTGCTGAAATAGTTTTAATGAGCCATGTAAAAGTGAGGGACAAATATGCACATTCTACAATTGTATCATGATTTTCTTGAGATGTTCTACAATCAGAGGCCCTTAGCGGGATTGCATGGCTAATAACTGTGGTGTAACATCATAAGTAGAATGTTGTTACACATGATGCCCAACCACTGCACGCGAATCTGCCCTGCACATTTTAGAAACTCTGCACCCGTGGTTTTTTTCCCGGTCAGTTGCACCTCATGTATAAGCCCCCGAAACAATTTGCAATTGGCCCAGAAGACACCAAAACTAGGACATGTAGCACCCGACAAGCCGAGTCAACCGGCTTCTGGCTTAAATTGTTGACTAGGTGCAGGTTAGGGGGAAAAAACGTTAACGAAATACGTTTCCCATCGCCAACAACTTCGGCTATGACACGGTGCCACGTAGGGGGGTTCATGGTGCGTCAAACAGAATTGAGCAAAATACACCTCTCCACGTGTACCATGCTCAAGCACGGTACACGCCCCTTTAGGTCCACACGATGCTCAACTAGCCCACGTCATGACTGGTGGTTGTGGTAACACGGCATTCCCTCGCCACGTTTCCATACTGAATGCTTGCGATGAATCTGTGCAGTTCGCGCACCTCGCCCAAGGCACAAACCACCAGACACATGATGCCTACAGGACTTTGTGAACTCAAAAAGAGGCCGCAAAAACTCACTCGACAATCAGAAACTCATTAACCTCCGAGGCTAGCCATGCCTTGGTCATCTCGAAGGCCAAGAGGCCGCACGATTTCAGGCCCAACTACGATCCGGACGAGGTGTGCTATTGGCGCTCTTCTGCGAAAGGGTGGATGACGAAGGAGGTAAGCGCATAACAAGTACCGAAGTTCACGGCCTTGATGCTAACAATCTTTTGATTAGCCGAAAACGAGCTATCTCACGTATAGTTGTTGTAAAGGTCTCAGGTGTTATAATCCTTCATCACCAAAAAGTGTCGGTCCGAAATGCAGCCGGCCAGCTAGGTGGTCCACATTGTGTCATTTGACCCCCCAAAAGTGTCCAAAAAGAGTCTTCACCCAAAATTGAAGGGTCTAAAAATGTCCGAAAATTAGCCAAAACGCGAAGTATCCGGAATCTGTCCAAGAAGTCTCCGATTCATGTTACTATGCAGAAGGTCGGGGATCGATGCTTGCCTGGTGCACTATACCGAACACAAAATTGTTAGATTAGGAAAGAAAACGAACACTCCCAATTATAAGTTGCTTTTTACTAGCTAGAATCGATCTCGCGATCTCCCAATCGCACGCGCGATTCGTAACCACTAAGCACCTCGGTTGTAAACCAAGCAAGTTGGTTCAATTAAACTCAAAATCCAATCAAAAACTCCTTCGCAACATGTTGACACCTGTTGCCAGGGTTGCCACCTGTCACACCACCTGCCACACAAACGCCTTCCTGTGCAGGTTAGGCTCGGAAAACATTAGCCACAGCTACCTACACACCTTACCAAACTCATCCCCCAACCACTCTCGACTTGTCCATCCCTTTCAGATCTAGATGCTCCATTTTTTAAACTGAGCTTTTCACTCGAGCATTTCTTGCCCAACATTTGTGGAACCAATCTAGCTTTGCGGATGTTATACATTTAGGTTTATAAATCCAGTTTCTGCTTTTCTATGCAACAATGTCATGGTGTTCATCGCTTGCTGAGATGTGCGCGGTCCTACGTTTTTTATTCATTCATACAACCAGAATAACGCATTCCATGACGTCGTTTACTTATACCGCTCCTATTTCCAATATCTATCTATCCCCAGTGCAGCATTTGACGGTCTTCTTTTTACGTAACAAGTTATTCAACTTCGGGCGCTGCTAAGGAGCGCTACGGGCACTGCTAAGGAGCGCGATGGGCGCTGCTAAGGAGCGAGACTGACGCTGCTACGGCGGGTGCTGCTAAGAGACGAGATGGGTGCAACTTAAGTGCTCGACGGGCGCTGCTAATGCGGCTGCTGCTTAGAGGCGCGATGAAGAGCGGTAATTACATTGTTTAATTCAATATGAACCTGTGTGTTAACGGTTGCTAATCATCGCTTACCTTCTGATGTTTGTTTCAGTTGCATTTGGTGAAGATTTCCTTCATAGAGGGTGAATGTGTCATCACGCAGGTCGGTTTGTTTGATTCAATGTTGGCATTTTTTGTGGTTACCGACTTATACGTACATACAAGCTTCACGTTGATTTCGCGGTTTTGTTTGTTTCCTCCCCTTTGAAAGTGCTCGCAATCTGAAGGTTTTGTTTAATATTTCACAGCCGCCATTTAGTTCTCTATCACTAAGGTACGCGTCGGGCGCTGCTTTGTCAGGACGCTGCAAAGGGTCGTGACGGGTGCTGCTTACCCTGTTGCTGGTAAGAGGCCCCATCAAAGGTGGTGCTCAATTTGCTTAATGATTTGTTGATATAGCCAGTGTGTCTTGTACTTATTGGTTTTTCTTGTATTCAGAGATGTATTAATCACCGTGTAAATGGAGATGTTTGTTTCAATCGTTTCTGGTGACTATTTTCAACCTTGTTGGACAATGTGTCATCAGTCACCACAATTTGTACGTTTTAGTATAAGCAATTTTGTAGTTATTATTTTTTGGAATGGACCTTGTGGCTCATTCAATATTGTTCTTCAATCCGTGCAGGTTATTTTTCTTTTAAGCATTAACTAATGGGGGTTCGTATATTTATCTGGCAATGCATTATTTAGTTTCTAGCAGTTTGTATAAGTAGAAATGCCTTTGCATGTTCTTTATTAAAAATCATGTAAACAATGGTTGGGTATAAATTTTATTGGTAAAACGCATCTTAGTATATCGGGTACGTGATGTACACATATTGCCTTCGCTTTTCGTATTGTCCAAATGGACTCTTCGCGGACTCTTTGGTCGGACCTAAAACAGACTCCGGAATGTAGCAGGCCTTGGTCCAAAAAGTCTCTTTTTCTGCACGTCCGGAATCCGTCCAGAAAGAGTCCGTTCGGACTCTTGGGGACAACTTTGGGACGCTGGAAAATGGAGATGTTTTTTAACCCGGTGTTTTTCATGCAGGTGTTCACTCACTTCATGGAGCAACTTAACACGGCCATGTACGCAGAGGGCCGGAACATCGTTATCTTGATGGACAACGCGAGCAGCCACGTGCTCAAGACGGAAGGCGCCGAGACGGAGGACCTCTTTGGGTTCCGTACGCGCAAGCTCAGCAACTTGCGCATTGTTTACCTGCCGCCCAACACCACGTGCTTCACCCAGCCCCTCGATCAGGGGATCATTGCTACGGCGAAGGCGAGGTACCGGGCGCACTGGCTGAGCGCGTTCACTGTGCAGTGGGTGGAGAGCGGCGCCACGTCGGCGATGGCTCGGTACAAGCCGAACCTCCGCGACGTGCTCGCCTGGCTGCTCGATGCATGGATGAACATCGAGCGTCGTACCATTCAGCGCTGCTGGTGGCGCACCGAGTGCCTCCCGCGTGCATGGGAGATGCAGCTTGATCATGTGGGCAACGGCGGCAACGGCGGCAACGGCGGCCCCACCGAGCTCGAAGAGGCAGTGGGCGACGTGGGGATCCTCATCGATCGGCTTGGCCTCGGCCCGTCAGCGATGCCTGCCGCGGACTTCGTCCGCATCGACGAAAATCAGCCGACTTGCACCGAGCCGGGAGAGGACCCGCTGGCTACGGAGCCGCCGACCTTGCCGCCTGCCGAGATGTGGGAGGCCCCGGCCAGCATGCAAGTCGTCTATGACGACGCCAATCCGGCTTGCCGCGAGGCACGGCGCTACGACCGCGCCGCAAGCGAGATGCTCATCGGCTACGCGAAGGCCACCGGCATCACACCGCGTGACCTCTGCGCGCTGTTCGACATCCGCAACCCCATCATCAGGGCCCGGATGGAGCGCGCAAGTCCGGCGCTCAACCTGAACAGCACCCCGCCTCCCGCCATGCCCCTGGGCGCCACCCCGCCTGCTGAGACACCTCGTCGCCGTGGGCGTGTGCTGCCGGCGTGGATGACGGAGCCGACCCCGGAGTGGGTCACTTTGGCTCAGCAGACGGCTCGCCGCCAGGAGCTCATCGACGGAGGAGCACCAGTTGTGATGGGTGGCTTCCTGGATGCCGCCGAGTGGATGCGGCTGTGAGGGTGTTGTGCTCTGCACACCTTGTGTATGGCTCGTTTCATGTGTAAATGTGCAAGTCTCGTGCACATTGTCACTAGCACGCAGGAATGACTGGGTACAGGTGTGGATTGCGTATTGGCGGGATGGATGGGTAAGGGTATTTGTAACAAGGCAGAATATGTGTTGTAATCGCGTGCAAGGATGAAATGAAAAGACAGTGGTAACCAGGTTCCTAAACAAACAACAATGCTTGCCTACCAACACTGTTGGGATAAAACAAACTTGTTACAACCTGTGTTTTTTATTAGCACATCGTGGCTATGGCGAAACCCGACGAACCGAGCGAAATGCGCAAATCACTTATAAGCCCAGAGGACATCCCAAGTATGGGGGACTCAAACGAGCATTAGGTGTACATATTTCTACAATCTGTAATCCTACAGAAAATGGTCCAATGTTGCCAGTTTCCGCCAGTGTATGTTCGTCGTTACTATCTGTGTGCAGCAAACATGCCAAGCCACCCTCGTTCAAACGTGGTGTTTGGCAGCAAGGCCGATCAAGCCAAGGCGCGCCAGCTGGCAAGCATTTGCAGTTCAGTCCAATCAAACCCACCCAGCTCGTTGGAGCCAGAGCCACTTGACTGTGTGTCGCTTCAGCCCCACACCAGTCGCCACCTTCTTTCCAACCGCCACCCCGCTGTTCGTCACCACCGGGTCCTATTCTTCGAAAGTTCGTTCGGGAAGTCCAAAAATGGACCGCGGAACCAGAACGGTACAGTACAAGCATGCCAACACCACTTCCTCCCAGCGAGAGTGTAACGAAGCTCCACACATGAAAAAGTTGCCTCCCATACCGGACACTGTTGAACGGGAATGCGCGGGAGCGCAGAAACAGACGAGGAGCCCCACAGCACCACCAGCTTGACAAACAATATCTCTTATGGAGAACCTCGTCGCTTGTGAGTGCTGCAGAAACTGCTCTCCCTCCACCTCTCCACCTTGCGTGTTTCACCGATTCAACCAGAGAAAGCACATGGCGGTTTTGTGTTTCTTGTTGGACGGTGGGGAGGGTAGATCACATGCAGGAGGGTCGTGTTGTGTTTGCTTCGTGTCGTGTGTGCTATGGAGCGGCAGCAATGCGTTACTTCAACCTAGCTTCAGCAGTCTATGTTTCACATCAAGCAAGCAAGCAAGCAGAATCATTCGTTTCTCATTCGCGTTATTTCACCCCCCATTCCATCGGTCAGTCAAGGTTTGGGTCAGCAAGTTTTGGAGAGTCTCGACGCGCGCCATGGCCAAGATTCACGCGGACTGCTCACATCTCGCGGACACGAGGTGGCTGTGTCTGTGCGTGCGGCTGCGCCTCTTCACGCTCTTCGAGCTCCTCCTCGTCTCCGCGCTGCTCTGCCTCCTCGTCTTCGCCCGCCTTCCCCTGCCGTGCACGAACAAGCCCCCCCCATCATCGGATCAACCTGCCGGGCCGGCAAGCCCGTCGCAGCCCGCGCCGTCGGATAGTCAGTCCGCCCCACCTCTCACGCCGCCCAGCGCGCCACAGCAGCAGCCAGAGGACGATCCGTCGCAGCACCTTCGCCGTTTCGTGTCGCCCGACTTCTTCCGCCCCCGCGTCGCCCCGTGGGGCCGCAGCGCCACCGGAAATGCCAAGGCCGCGCAGCCGCCGCCGTCGGGAATGTGCATCGCCATACCGTCGGCGCCGCGGTTCGATCCGGAAGGCGAGGAGAAATCGTGGCAGCGCGTGGAAAACCTGCTTCTGGCACTCGACGCGCGGCGCGCGCGGGAGAGGGATGGGCTGCTGGAGCGCGCGATGCGCGTCGTGGTTTACAGCTCAGGGTGCCGCGTCGACGACCCCGCCAGAAGGGCCGGTGCGCCAGGCGCACCCAGCGGCGCAACTCCCTCCGCGTTGGTGCGCGCAGCGGCGGTGCTGGCGCGCGAGGCGAACGTGAGCGAGTCGTACGCGCGGCCGCTGGTGGGGGCTCTGGCGCAGGACGCGGCGAACGTCAATCCGCTGGTGGACGCGCACACGGCCGCGATCCGGGCGGTGGCGGAGCGCATGGAGCTCCCCGTGGACGTGCTCCCCGCACCCCGACGGCTGCGCGCTGCTGGGTGACGCCGACCGCCTCCTGCGCTCCGCGCCGCGCGAGCACGTGGAGCGCGACGGATGGCAGCGGTGGCGATGGCACACGAAGCTGTCGATGGACTTCGCATACGCCGTGCGACAGTGCCTGGCGACGCGGCCCGCGCCACGTGCTGCTGCTGCAGGACGACGCGTTCCCCGCGCGCCTGTGGGACGTGGGCATCGAGCGCTTCATGGCGCGCGACCTGCGCGGCAAGGCGCCGTGGGACGTGCTGTCGCTGTACTACCCGCGGTCATACCGCTGGAACCTGCAGCACGCGCAGGAGTACGACATCCCCTGCTGCGCGCAGTCGCTGCTCTTCTCCGCCCCTCGCGCCGGCCGGTCGGAGGCGGTGGCGCACGTGGAGCGCGGAGTAACGCGCGCGCCCATGGACCCTGTTGCTGCACGAGTTTATGGGCACCGCGGGGGAGGGCGGGCGGCAGAGGCGCGCGT